AGGCGTAACCCAGTTTTCCCAACTTCTGCTGAAGCCTAATCCGCAATGGCGCAGATGCCGTTTGGGGTCCTCCTCCTCTGTGAACGTTATTGGCGCTCTGGTGGGGGCATGATTGAGAGCTCGGCCTTCAAATCAGATCAGCCCAGGAGCTCCGAGCCAGAAAGATCAGGCGAGCAGCCCTCACTTACAGATGAGCGCTTAGGAAACCCTGCCGGAAGTCCTACTGTTATCCAGGGTTGCTTGTGGACGACTAGACTCCATAGCACAACACAACTCTACAAGGGGGCTTCCAACATCTTGTGGGGACTTAAAAGATACTAAGATGATGGTGTTTCCCCATGAACTCTTCGAAGCGCACTCGTGTGTGGTGTGTGTATGTGTATGCATAGGTACACCCTAAACTATGCCTTCTTCCAGGCAACTAGCACTCTGGCAAAAAGTCCTTTGGGAAAAGCAATTCATACCAAGGCGTCTCAGGAGTTGTCCATTCTTTCATTCAAGTTGTTTTTATTGAGTGACATTATGTCCCTGCCATTGGGGCAGGTGTTGGCATACACAGGGTTGACGTCACAGGTCCAATCTTCAAACCGTTGGCGGCTCGGGGAAATGCAGTTGAGTCAACAGACAGTGGGGAGGCCTGGCGGAGCAAGGGGTTACCAGCCAGGCTGCTAACTGCACAGAGAGCAGGACAAACCCAGCCGCTGCTCCCTGGGAGGAAGGGGGGGCTGTCTGGAAACAGCTTTGGAAACCCAGAGGGGCAGTTCCACTCTGTCCGATAGGGTCTGTAGGGTCACTCTGAGTCACAATCAGCGCGTTTGGTTTCAGAGTTTTAGGCAATGACAATGAGGCGTGACAAATGCCATACCAGGAAAGCACAGTGGAGGGGCAGGAAGACCCCGCCTGGGGCAGGGGTGGAACAAGAGTCAGAGAGCCTGGGAGACAAAGGTTTCCTGAGTTCTGAACTGAAGATGACCAGAAGTCATCCAGGTTCAGTGGGTAGATGGCAGGGATTGCAGGGAAGCCACGTGTTCTAAGGATAGGGGGATAGTTTGTTCTAAGAAGGGATAAGAACATGAACTTCTCTTGTTTGGCCTACTTCAATGTTTTCCGGCTTTGCAAGGATGGAGGAGAGCCCGTCCCCAACTGTAAAAATCATCAACAGCATATATTTTCTGTGGCGCATGTCTGTTTCAGAGGCCCCATTCATAGTTTTCCAAGGCTTGTTGGCCAGAAGACAGGAAATTAACTGCACTGTGAGGGCTCATTTCCTGGTGCAGGGGATTGCCTCTTTCCAAGCCCTTCTGCATCGATTTAAGAAAGGCAAATCAAACACGCTAGCCCACTCCCCTTTCCACTCCTCACACAGATCCCTGCAATTCGAAGGGTTGCAGGGCTTTTAACAAAGGATGCTGCTCCTGGAAGCACACTTGCTGCCTCGCCTCCCTCCCCCAGACTTACGTCGGTTTGACTTTTCACAACTTGTCAGCTGTGGGCCTGGGAAATCAGTCCCATTAGGCTACAGCCTCAAATCTGGGAGAACCCTAGACATACGGAGACATCAGCCACTCTCTCCTTCTCATAATGCAAACGCCATTCACACACCGAAAGGCACCCAAGTAAGCACAGGGTTAAATAACAACAGTATCCCTATCTCCGGGTTTATACAGCCGTCAACAAAGATGGCAACTGGAACGTGCCAGTGACAGACAGTTTTAAGAGATGTGGTCCACAGTCCAAAAACACCCGCCCCACGGGAGAAAGACGGGGCTTTCTGGTGTCGTGGGCCAGGCATTGGGCTGCTAACCTCAAGGTTAGCAATCTAAAACCACCAGCCACCCGGAGGGAGAGAGGCTTTCTACTCACATACAGACTTACCGCCTTGGAAACTCACAGGAGCAGTTCTGTCCTGTCCTACACGGTCACTATGAGTCGGCAGTGAGCCTGAGTTTCTGAGTTGATGTAAAATATATAGAATGATGCACACGCTGGGATCACAACCAGAACCATAAATATTAAAAAATCCTGGAAGGAAATGAACCAAATGAGGCTGCAGTTGGACTGATGTCGTGTGACTGGGAACCTTCCCCTACGTCCCGATATTGCATTTACGTTACTATTGTTAGTTGGATTGATGTCCTGTGACTGTGACCCTTCCCCTACTTCCCTATATTGCATTTATGTTACTATTGTTGTTGGTTGGATTGATGTCCTGGGACTGTGAACCTTCCCCTACGTCCCGATATTGCATTTACGTTACTACTGTTGTGGGTTGGATTGGTGTTGTGTGACTGCGAACCTTCCCCGACTTCCTGATACTGCACTGACGTTACTATTGCTGTTGCTTGGATCAGTGTTGTGTGATTGTGAACCTTCCCCTATGTCCCGATATTGCATTGACGTTACTATTGCTGTTGGTTGCCATGACGTTGATTCCAACTCCTGGTGACCCCAGGGGCACAAAGCAGGACTGCTTGGTGGGATTTTAAAGCTGTGACCTTTTAGGTACGTCTTCCACTTCTTGGTAGATCGATGGTTAACCTTTTGGCTGGTAGCCAGGTAGTACCTGACACCTTCCTTGCATTTGCTGTGCCTTTGTGAATTAAATACTGTGAAAACTTTAATTCTAGAAGTTAGCCATTTGAACATCTTCAAACTCATATGTAACAGGGAGCTGGAGACAAGTGCCATCACTATAATATTCACTGCGATTAAACTACAATACAGCATCCTATACTACTCCTGCCTACTAGACTATCATACTCATTCTGACCCACAGCAACTGTAGGGCACGGAGAACCGCCCCTGTGGGTTTCCAAGGCTGTAACTCTTTATGGGAGTAGAGACCTCATCTTTTTCTGGCAGTGTGCTCAGTGTTTTGTTTTTTTTATTAATCATTTTATTGGGGGGGTTCTTACAAATCTTGTAACAATCTATCATGCAATAGTATTAAGCAAACTTATACAAATGTTGCCATCAACATTTCCAAAACAATTTCTTTCTACCTGAGTCCTTGATATCAGTTCCTCTTCTCCCCCCACCCTCCCCTCCCCTTCCACCCTTGTGAATCCATGATCAGTTATATATGTTTATTATTTCATGTATTACACTGTCTGTTGTCTCTCTTTCTCTTATTCGTTCCCCTGGGGGCGCTATATTTCCAACCTTGTGATGGGTTCCCCCTTTTCCCCCTCCCTCACCATCCCCCTCTCTTCATGATATTGCTACTCCCACTACTGTTCCTGATGCTTTATCTGTCCTGAATTCCATGTGTCAAGAGCTCTTATCTGTACCAATGTGCACTCCGGTTGAGTCGGAATTCTAAGGTAGAACTGATTCATGGTATTGGAGGGTCAGTGGTAAGCATTCAGGAACTAGAGGAATGATATGTGAGTTTCGTTGATGCTATACTGCACCCTGGTTGAATCATCCCTTCCTTGTAACCCTCTGTGGGGGGATATTCAATCATCTACAGATGGGCTTTGGGTCTCCACTCCAACCTCTCTCTTTCACACTGATATGTTTGTTTTGGATCTGATACCTGATACCTGTTCTTGTAGACACGTCATGATCTCACAGGCTGGTGTGCTTCTTCCACGTGGGCCTATTTGCTTCCCTGCTTGTTTAACTTCAAGTCTTTAAGATCCCAGACACTACATCTTTTGAGACCCAGGCACCATCTGCTCTCTTCACCACATTTGCTTATGCACCCATTTTGTCTTCAGTGATCATGTCGGGACGGTGAGTATCAAAGAGTGCCAGGTTATCAGAGCAAAGTGTTCTCATGTTAAGGGAGGCCTTGAGTAGAGGCCCAAAGTCTGTCTGCTATCTTAATACTTAACATATAAATATATGTACATTGGCCTCTATCCCTTTCCTTATAAATTAATATATTTACATATACATACCTATAGCTATACCTCTACAAGTAGCTTTTGCCTCCTACTTCTTTCCTCTATTTCCCTTCACCTTCCCCCTGTCCCACAATCATGCTCACCCCCCATTCAGCTCTTAGGAATTCCTCTTGGATATATTGCACTTCATCAAACCCCACCAGGCATCAATCCTAGATCTCGTGTGAACTGCTAACCTTGAGGTTCTCAGCCCAGTGTCTGACCCACTACACTGGACCAAAGTATATCATCTTCCACCGGAGCAGTAGCATCTCCCCCAATGAGTGGACATGTGGGACATCATTTCAACCCTTCCATGAGCTGGGGTCACTTGATGGTCCTATGTGATGGAGAAGGAAGAGTAATGCTATAAGAACCTGGGGGACATATCTGGGAATGTAAGCCAGATACAGCGACAAGAGTTAAGAGTTACACACGTGATTTGGCTTTGCGAATTCCCCAAAGCAGGGGTGGGAACCTCACCATTCCTTAGGGTTCTGGTTAAAACACCGATCTTTCCACGAAAGCATGCGGACCAAGACCTGAGTCTATGCTTCTAGTTACTCCTCTGACTTTGACTGACTGCCATCCTGTGTCTCCATGTCTCTCGGGGCTCAGCACTGATGGTAGAGTTGACCCATGGGATGGGGTGAGGGGATTACGTAGCCCTAAGAGGGGTGGCGGGGCCCCAAGATTGCTTCTCTTTCAAGCTTCCCTTGGAGCTAAAGAATGGCTTTCTCTGCTGTGAGCACAGAGGACGATTCAATCAGCTTGAGTTGCTGCAAGAGTTCTGTCGGTTATGTTCGCGTTAACTCCTTCTAAGCAGGAAGAGTAGCTACCGCCGGCCATGGCATTGGCGTTTCCTCCTCTCGAGGTCTGAAACAATAGGGCAGATACACATCTGTCCTTGAAAGGCTCCGGCGTGGTGCACAGAATGAGCAATCGTAGCACAGGCTGACGAACACACGTAACATGACCCGGTGTGTCGCGTCACACCTTTTCTCGGGATCTGAGCAGGCATAGGTTTAAAAGCAGTTCACATCACTCCCCGGCCCTGGCTGAATCAACGCAGGGGAGACACGTCTCGGCAAGGTGGCCAGAGTCACCTACCTGCACTAGGAGTTCCAGCTTCCGGTCATCAAGAAGATGGACTTGGCATCGGCGGCCCTCCGTCATCTAAAGAGAGAGAGAAGACGGTCGTTAGGAGTCGGACCAGCGGTGAGGGGGGTCTCCTGTGCTGCACTCTACTCTGGGGAAAGCTGCGTGTGGACGTGGGCCCTCTTGGAGTACAACGACGGTGGGAAGTGGCAGGACTGGCTCCCTCTTCACCCATCCAGGAAAACGTCTTTACGGACCACTCTCCATAGGGTCGCCATGAGACGGAGCCGCCTCGATGACCGGCCCTGTCCTGGGAGCTGGCTGGAGGCCCAGTTCCTGCTTTTATTCCGAGGAGGACTCGTCACAGCGTCGCCTGGACTCAGGATGGCCCCGTGTGGGTCAGAGTAAACTGTGCACACAGGGCTTTCAAAGGCTGGTTTTGGAGGAAGCCAGGCCTTTCTTCCAAAGCACGGCAGGTGACTGGACTGTCCACTGTTCCTGCCAGAGGCCCCCCTCCCCCACATTTAACCGTGTGAAGCACCAACCATAAGGGAAACATAAAATACTCTTACAAATAGATATCGAACATTCAGTGGTGTTAGGGTTACTCATTCATTAGTCATGGCTCTAGTCAACCCCTCATTTGATTCCCACCCACCAGGGTCAGGGCTCTGCCACCTCTTCATTTCCCCTCCTTCTGAATGCAGGTGAGAACTACACCTGCCCGCTAACGGAATTTGACTTCTTCCAGAAGAACTCAGGAGATGAACATCCACAGCTCATCCCGACCCCTGACCGGTGCACCTTGGGACAGAAGTGTCCCAAGACACACAGAGGAGACCCAAGTCCAGATTGAGCTCTGCTGGTGACTGGGGTGCAAGACAACTTGGTAGACATCCTTGGCCTTGGTTTCATAGGCTAGGGCCAGTGGGATGCTGGGAAATGTTTTAGCAACTGCCATTCTGGAGGAGGGTGTGTGTCTTTTGTGGGAGCATTTTGTGGGAGCATTTCCATACTGCCAATACCTTCACTGTGGCCCTGGGGGTGAGCAGTGCTGCGAACGGAAAGTGTGGAGGATGGAGCCCACGCGCTGCTCTGTGGGAGCACCATGGGGCAGCCTGCTTCTCTAAAGATGACCGCCTCGGAGACCCCTATGGGGCAGTCCTCCTCTGTCCTGCACGGTTGCTGAGGATTGGAATGCACTCAACGGTAGTGGGTTCACGGCTGATTTCAAGCTACCAGCACGTCACTGGGGCAGTTGTTGTGAGGGGCTGTCCTGTCTGTTCCGGCCCATAGCGACCCGATGCACCACAGAGGAAAGCACTGGCTGGCCCTGCACCAGCCTCGCAATTGTTGCTATGCCCGAGTCCCTGGTTGCAGCCACTTGTGGAGGACCTTTCTCTTGTTCTGCTTACCAAGCACAGTGTCCTTCTCCAGGGACTGATCGCTCCTGAACACACGTCCAACGTTTGCAAGAGGACGTCTCGCTATCCTCTGCTCTAAGGAGTCTCTGCATCACTCTGCATCCTAATGTCCCCAACCGAGCGACATGAAAACTTGGGAAGCACAGGTCACGGACTAACAAGGAAGGGATAGCTTCAATATTAATTAGCTTTCTCTTCAAGGTACTGTATTTAATTGCAAGCATCTGCAGCTCGGTTTTAATTTAATAATGACTATGCTTTACAATGGACAAACGCTCCCAATTTAGGGCTTAGCTTTCATGAACTCATATGTGCCGATTCCAACCTACCACTGGCTGGGCCAGATGGCCTATGGAGGTTCCTTCAGCTCTAGTCTTGGGGGGCTCTACAGCCTTTGGGAAACCTCCTCTTTTTCTTCAACCTCCAGATCATCCAAACAGATCAAAAGAGAAGATGGAGAGAGAAGACCCCAGCCACCAGAATTCTGTCTTGTGAAAGCCCTCTTACAGAGAGATGGAAAAGACAGGCTTCTTCTCATGCAACCAGGACAACTCTGTGAGCATCCGCGTGCTATAAGCTGTCCTGTGTTCCCATGGGAATAAGACTTCCGTGGTGCCTTTCATTGAGCTAGAGTTCCCCCGTTGTCTACGCCAACCAAACCAAACCAGCAAACCTGGCTCAGTGGGGGGCCAGTCTCTGAACTTGCCCGAATCCCAGCTAGAAAGGGTACTCACTCAGGCCCAGCTGTCAGGAAGACCACCAAAATCCACATAAAAAATGAAAAGCAATATACTTGTGTGTGGGTGTATACATACATACATATATGTACACATGCACACATTATACACCAATATGTGAAACTATCTAGTTTACATAAAATATGCAAATATATATTATATATACTATATAAGCTATATAATGGCTTATATACACATTTATATTAGATATATAGTATAAAGTGTATAGATACCTACATGTGTTAAAAATATATACACATATACACAGGTGTGAGTTTATATAAACTTTATATGTATACAATTTCACAAACTGGTTCCAATTGAGAAAAAAAATTCAGCTTGACCTAATAAACAAAATAAATGCAAGCTAAGCCCTTACTCATTCCTTGACCCCTGAATGTGAGTCAGTTGCTTGAGTAGTGAAACAGGCTCAGGGCCCAGATCCAGCCCAACTCTGTACACACAGGCAGCCGAGCTGACGGCCTCTAACAACTCGCCGGGCCCATTTCTCTCCTCCTCCCGTCTACAATCAACAAAAGCCACTGCAAATCGGAAACGAGGCTGAAACGGGCAATGTCCTGCCAAGTGATCCCTCCCCTGACAGGGAACCCAAGGACATTTAACATCAAGTTTCAATAGGGCAGTTAACAGCAGTTGAACCTTGGATAAAATTTTAGATCCATCTCATGCTATTCCGTTCTTATGAGAAAGAACCCAAAGCTGTTGGATTGAAAAGTCTAAGAAGTAAAATGACAACCACCCAGCACACTATTTGCAAATTCTTCTGCAAACATTGCTTACATCTTTGGGAAAGTTCTATGAGACATGGGGGGATGCGGGGCACGTTCAGAAAAGGAACTGTATTTGTCTTTTGCATCTTTATAACAAAACTTTGAGCTTAGTTTTCTTGTCAAAGCTTAAGCACCGAAATAGCTTCTTGCCCTTAGTCACATTCTAATAAATTTTATGAAACAAACAAAAAACATTGGGAGCAAACAGTATTTTAATGATGGTCCTAAAGGAGTAGCAATATATCATTTTCTCCAAGATTGCAAAAGCCCGAAGGCCCATGTCCTTGAGCTCATCTTCCAACCCAATGTTTACCCCATTTCCCCTGGAAAAAAGAATCTCTCATCGCACGAAGTAATGGTCTCACCTTCTCTGCTCTGCAAGCTAAGGAAGTCACGATGCCCCGAGATGCTAAGCGCTACGCAAGGTTTTCCAAACTCGCCTCTCTCTCCACAGCTGTGCAAGCGCTCCATATGCTGGCAGACCTCCCTTGCAGAAGGTCAAATGTCCCTGACAAAAGTCAGCCCACGAAGTGAGCCTGAACCACAAACTCAGCTTTGAATCACCTGCTGGAAGGCCCACCTTTCTTTGGGCAGCACCGACCATTGTGGGGTCTTGTTTTTGATCAGAAGGGGGAGCTGTTTGTTGTTCTGTGCTGATGAAACAAAGATGGCAGTAGCTAGTCCTCTGCCTCAGCTCAGAAAAGGCTTGCGTTTGGGGTGTGTGCAGAGACAGGGCAGACATCTGTAGGCTTTGTCTGTCTTGCCAGGCATACTGCACTTCTCGTTTGAATACCAACAAATGCAAAATACTTTCCTTTTTTCTTTTTCTTTTTTCATATTCAGCTGCTCAGGCACAATTGGGGCCCTGGCACCATCCTCAAAGAAAATCCTTCAGCGAACAAGCCTTCTCATAGATGTCAGCTGGCTACCGTTCTAACCATAAATCGTCTTGCTACAATACAATTCTATACCAAGCAGTGGTTGCCAAGTACTCTCTGATGCTAATGGATGGAAGAAAAATGCTACTTTGAAGGGGAGGTGCCAGCTCTATTCATCTAACTTTACTGTTAGGATACATTGTGACTCATGAAGACTATTCATAAACAGAAAAATGTATCTGCGGATGCTGGTTGTAGTGAGCAGAGCACAAAACGAAAGGCCAGGTGACTGACGGACTTGCCTGTGGACAACTGTGGGGAGGCAAGCGTTCAGAGTTTATAGGGGTTCTAGGGTGCTAGGCTTGCGCGTTCCCTCCCACCCCCCAAACAACCGCATCGGTTGTTCCTTGTAGTGGTGGTGGTTTTCCAGTTAAAAAAGCGTGAAGTAAGAAACGCCATCAAAACATTTCATCAAACTTCATCACGTAGGTAAACTTGCTCTAGACTTTTTAAAAAAAAATCATTTTATTGGGGCTCATACAATTCATCACAACCCATACATACATCAATTGTGCAAAGCACACCTATACATTTGTTGCCTTCATCATTCTCAAAATTCGCTTTCCTCTTGGGTTCCTGGAATTAGCTCATTTTCCTTTCTCCCCTCCCCCTCCCTCCCCATGTTCTAGACTTTTAATATGTAAAATCCAGTTAGTTCATTTGCAAGTGACAGCAACAACTGCCACACCCTCAGATGAAATGTCCCAGACCTTGTCCCCTGCAGGCAGAACTGCACACGGGAAGCCAGGTGCCACAGACGCCCTGTCAGCGAGTGGGTTCTCCCAGAGCGTGGTCCTCGAGGACAGAGGGGCACTGCCCCTGCCGTTTCTGGGTTCTCCCAGAGCGTGGCCCCCGAGGACAGAGGGGCACAGCCCCTGTCGTTTCTGAGATACTCTCGACAGGAGCAGAAAGCTTCATCTTTCTCCTGCACCCCGAGTGGCTGATGGTTCTGAATGCTGACCTTCAAGGTTAGCAGCCCAGCCCATAGCCCTCTATGTCTGCCACCAGGGCTGGTTCAGGCAACAAGGTTCTATGTCTGCCACAAGCGTGGTTCAGGCAACAAGAAAAAAGTAAAATCATAATGACCCATGGGACACAGAACTGCCCCATAGGGATCCCCAGGCTGAATCTTCACAGAAGCAGACTGCCACATCGTTCTCCTGTGGAGAGGCTGGTAGGTGGTTTGAA